CAGAGCCAAGTGTGTTAGCAGCTTCGTCAAGGGAATTGCGCTGCGTCGCAGCCAGCTGAATAGGTGGAAATGCCAGCCTCAAGTCACACGTCTGCTTCAGCTCCGTGCGGAGAAGTGAGCAGCCGGTAAGTCCTGCCCGTGTTCGAGGAGCGATTCGAGCTTTTCTCGTGCTTTGGGAATCAGCGCCGTGTGGCTGGTCCCAGCTTTGTGGATGGCTGAGTTTTGAGGGTTATGCTTTTTCTTGCTGTAGTTTTGAAATTTCAAAACTAGTGAGTGCACGCCTCCCACCAAAGGTCCCCCCAAGCCCACGGCTGCCTTTCTCCCCTCTTTTCACCTACTTCTGGCTTTGCCGTGTTTCACTGCTTCTCCTCCCGCTCCCACCAAGCCACCGGTTGCTGCGTCTCATCATTGCAGGCTCATTAACGGGTTGCAACGTGATCTCACAAAAGAAACATTTATTTATGAAAATCCATTTGGACAAACCCAACAATCAGAGAGAGACCATTTTGGGGAGGAGGGTTTTCTCTGTAGAGATACTGCTATGGGAAGAACTTCACGCAGAGCTCCTACCAGCTGCCCCGCACACCAAATACCAAACCCCAGACGTGCGCCGCAGCACATCTCATCCCCTCGCTCCCCTCCCGGCCCCGACCGTATCGTATTGCAGAGAATCAGGAGCCTTTTTGTCTGGGATGGCAAGTTTAAGGGCAGAGACACCCAAGAGTCATCTCTCACCCTCAGCTGCTCTTGGGACTCACTGTCCCTTCTCCAGGGTGCCGCGATTGCCGCATTTAACTGATGAGCATGATTTAGCTTCCAGCAGAGGTGGTATTTTGGGTGGATACGCCACAGGAAAAGGGGCTATTTGCGTGTTAAACTTTGCATTATAAGTGCTGTATTAATTATTCAGCTGGAGACAGGTTTTTTGGGGCAGGATGATGTGTTCAGTAGATTATTATCAGACTCCTGAAGCCTGAGAGGTTTTTGGGCTTTTTTTGGTTTTTTTTTTTTTTTTTAATTATTATTATTATTTTAATGGTAAGCAAAAGCTAGGAGCTCTTGGGCTGGGCACTTTGATTGTGTGATCTCGCAGGAGGGCTCTGGCTAGGACACAGCAAGCTAAAAAAAAAACCCGGTCAGCCCTGCGGAAGTACACAGCAAGTAGCAGATGCTCTGCTTCCATGCCAAGTCGCTACCCGTTGGTAGATGCGGTGTGCTCGGCTGGGCCGAGCAGTGACTACGTCCCTCGAGGGGCAGCAAAATAAAAATAATAATAATAGAAAAACCATTTGGTGGGTGGGCAGCCTTTTGCGTGCATACCAGCAATCCTGTTACAAGCAGTACAAACAGTGGAGATCGGCACCGGCTG